GTGAGGGCATGGGAACCTGACTGACAAATGAAGTGTAAATAAATCACCAGAACCATATGGCATCCACCTGGGAGTCCTAAAGGAATTCAAGGGTGAAATTGTGGCAAGGCTGCCCAAAATGTGTAACCTCTGATTACAAAGTCACTCATGCTCTAGAACTGGCAGAGCGCCTGTGTAGCCTCCATTCATAAGAAAGGATCCAGGGAGAATTCTAATTTTCACACCAGGAAAGTAGGCAGGAGGACACAGCTTAAGAATAGGACTACTGAGCATGTAAGCAAGCATGATCTACCAAAGGAAAAGACGGTACAGCTCGTAAAAAGCAAAGCTTGTATGTAATAGTTTTTGGGAGAGTAACTATGAATGTGAACTAATGAAAATCTGTCCATTTACAGAAATTTAATTTACATAAAATTTCCAAGATACTATAGTAAAAGGCTTTTTTAAACTGAATAACAACACAACAGGAAAAACACTTTTTCAGTGAACTACTTGGAGGCCAGAAACAAAATTTAAAAAAACACTGACACATCTCCTAATTAAAGAAATTTTAAAAGTGGGGTTCATAAGCCATCATGGCACTAGAACTTGTCTTATATAACATTCTTATAATCTGTAGGAGGGAGCTTACAGTGAGGTACTCTATGGGTCTACACTCTTCCAGGCAGGAGAAAGAAACGCTGATCAAGAGAAATGATAGAACAGTCTTTCCAGGTTCTAAGAGTTGATGTAAAGAGGCGACTGAGTTTCAGTGTGATGGGATCTATCTACGTCATAATAGTTCCTTAGTCTCCTCTCTCCAGGTAGGACAAATTTGGGCTCCATTCCCTGGACCCTGTGACTGTGGGCTCCAAAACTTACATATGCCTGGAAAACAGGAACAAATCTAGATTTAAGTCACAGAAAATGCTTCTAACTAGACTATCAAAGAAACCGTCCACTGTCAGGGTTTATTTGGTTAAACCCTGACCAAATAAATGGCAATCAGGCCTGCTATGGCCCAGCCCTTCCTTCTTCACTTACAGTGCCCATTCAATGCATGGCACTCTAGATTTATAAATTCAGGACAAACATTCATAGGAAAGTCATTCTGAAGCTATGAACCAAGGATTCTAAAACAAACAATAGAGTATGATTGAATTTACCCATTTCTTCAATTTTTGTTACTGCATCTCTATCTTGGGCATATAGCAGGGAGCTTACTGTAGAAATGCAAACCCGAGTAAGCTCAGCACCCCTGCCTAGCCCCACTGTTCCCTTGTAATACATCCCATCCATCTATTCTGTTTCTCCTACTACCTGCAACCTGGTAAGAGGCATTGCAACACGTTCTTAGCCTGTATCTCTGCTATCCAAGTCCATTCATTCCTTTAAAACTACAGGCAACAGAACTTCTCCCCTCAGTCATCCTACAGCACGATGGGACCTTGAAACTTACTTTACCATTCTGGGCTTGAGATAAGTGCCTGAATGGAGAAGTCAGAGACAAAAGACTTTTATGTTGTATCACCTGCAGAAGCCTATTCCAATAAATTATAGTAGCTATGTTTATAGGTTCGAATCCTGGCCCTCCTAATTAATAGCTGAGTGAACTCAGAGCTCAATATCCTCATTTGTCAAACAGAAAAGACAGTGTTTATCTACTTAAAAGGGCAGTTCTGGGGATCAATTGTGGTAATGCTTATAAAGAGCCTGATACAGTAGCTAGAGCATAATAAGCAATCCATTGATATTAGCTAGTACTAACATCATCCTAAAGAGAAGATTTATTCCTTTTTTGATTTTCTCCTAAGTCTAAACACAGCTTTTAAAAGGCTACTTAAAAAAAAGTAGGGGTGACTTATCCTAGTTCTCTGTTCTACAGCTCCTTGGCTCTCAGTTATCCCTGTAATATCTTTTTGCAAAATATTTTCTTAGGCTTTTCTATATATTGTTTTCCAAATTGTGAAGTCTTTGAGAGCCAATCTATCATTGGGTGAAGATTCATATTAACTAAGTTCACAAGGCAACTTGAGGCAGGAGCAGGACAAGCTGTAGAGAAGGACAAACTGTATCAATGTCATTGCTACCTGTTCTTGAGTAAAGTTTGCATGGAAAAGGCAGTATGCCTGCAATTTTAAAAAGGGGTTCCACAGATGATACTGCTCTTGATTAACCCACAGGTAAATGGTGTATACTCTGAAACTAGACTGGGTCAGTACTTTGAGAGCAGATCTATCACTGGGTGAAGATTCATGTTAACCAAGTTCACAAGGCTGATGTATAAGCCAGAAACTCTGTATCTTGAGTGCCAAAAGTAACAACACAACACAACTGCCACAGGACCCTGCAGTGCTCAGTTCAGTATAAGCAGTGTTGCACGCTTATACTGATGCACGGGGGAAGCCAAGCCATCATCAGAACACTTCATGATGTACATGTAATCAAGGCTTGGAAAGTCTGCAGCAGAAGCCATGGTTCAACATCAGCAGGCCATGATGGTATGCACCAGCAAGAATAGTGCTAGTCCTGCTGGAGAACCAGAGGGCCCTGGTGGGCAGCCAGAGTCTGAATGGGCANGTTCTTAGCCTGTATCTCTGCTATCCAAGTCCATTCATTCCTTTAAAACTACAGGCAACAGAACTTCTCCCCTCAGTCATCCTACAGCACGATGGGACCTTGAAACTTACTTTACCATTCTGGGCTTGAGATAAGTGCCTGTATGGAGAAGTCAGAAACAAAACACTTCTATGTTGTGTCACCTGTGGAAGCCTATTCCAATAAATTATAGTAGCTATGTTTATAGGTTCGAATCCTGGCCCTCCTAATTAATAGCTGAGTGAACTCAGAGCTCAATATCCTCATTTGTCAAATAGAAAAAAATAGTGTTTATCTACTTAAAAGGGCAGTTCTGGGGATCAATTGTGGTAATTATAAAGAGCCTGATACAGTAGCTAGAGCATAATAAGCAATCCATTGATATTAGCTAGTACTAACATCATCCTAAAGAGAAGATTTATTCCTTTTTTGATTTTCTCCTAAGTCTAAACACAGCTTTTAAAAGGCTACTTAAAAAAAAGTAGGGGTGACTTATCCTAGTTCTCTGTTCTACAGCTCCTTGGCTCTCAGTTATCCCTGTAATATCTTTTTGCAAAATATTTTCTTAGGCTTTTCTATATATTGTTTTCCAAATTGTGAAGTCTTTGAGAGCCAATCTATCATTGGGTGAAGATTCATATTAACTAAGTTCACAAGGCAACTTGAGGCAGGAGCAGGACAAGCTGTAGAGAAGGACAAACTGTATCAATGTCATTGCTACCTGTTCTTGAGTAAAGTTTGCATGGAAAAGGCAGTATGCCTGCAATTTTAAAAAGGGGTTCCACAGATGATACTGCTCTTGATTAACCCACAGGTAAATGGTGTATACTCTGAAACTAGACTGGGTCAGTACTTTGAGAGCAGATCTATCACTGGGTGAAGATTCATGTTAACCAAGTTCACAAGGCTGATGTATAAGCCAGAAACTCTGTATCTTGAGTGCCAAAAGTAACAACACAACTGCCACAGGACCCTGCAGTGCTCAGTTCAGTATAAGCAGTGTAGGCTGATGCACTGGGGAAGCCAAGCCATCATCAGAACACTTCATGATGTACATGTAATCAAGGCTTGGGAAGTCTGCAGCAGAAGCCATGGTTCAACATCAGCAGGCCATGATGGTATGCACCAGCAAGAATAGTGCTAGTCCTGCTGGAGAACCAGAGGGCCCTGGTGGGCAGCCAGAGTCTGAATGGGCATCACCAGCTTCTGCTTCAACTTGCCTTTCAGAAGTGCCCTGGCGGGCCAGCACCTTCTACACAATCTTTCTCCAAATTTCACTCAGAGCAATTAAATAGGTTTTATATTACTAAATTACAATCGCATTTCAGCCAATATCCCTGAGATTATTTCCAGGTCACACTGATGGAGTCTTTTGCTTCACATATTTGCAAAACACCTCCTAGTACATAGCTACAGATGGTAGATCACATCCATGTGGCATACATGGATGGACCTAATTTAACCCTCATAGGCAGCTTCGTATCTATTATTTCCAGGTTCCTTTTTTATGCCACAGAAATATTCAAATAAATGAATGGAACATACATTCATGTGGGAATTTAGTATGTGGTAAAGGTTATGTTTCAAATTAGGAAGAAAAGTATGAATTCTTTAACAGCATTAAAGCCATTAACTATGAATAAGAAGAAATGTAAGTTATAATCTAATTGATAATGTACAGAAAATTAATTCCAACCAATATAAAAGCTAAGCCTAGAAAACAAATCATATGAATGTCAAAAATGATTATGGAATAAGATGTTTGTAATCATGAAATAAAAGATATTATATAAATAAATAAAATATTTCCAGGTTCCTAGGGGTGTGGAAGGATGGGCTTCACTGTTACTTCCAGGAAACCTCTATAGGCTAAATTCCCCCAGGCCAGCATCCCCATCTTCTCTTTTATTTCAAGGTTATTTCACAAATAGAACAGGAATTCATTTGCAACAGCCACCTTATCAATGGCATTGATTGATCTGTCAGGTGAAACTGTAGATATTTGCTTTATTAACAGGAAGAGGCCATTTTCAAGTGTTGGTTGGAAAGAGGGAGAGAGACAGACAGAGGAACAGAGAGAGACACAGAGAGCAGATACAGGCAGCAGATCGGAACAGAACAAGTCCAGGAAGAAGGGTGCACTGGGCTGCTGCCTTTACAAGGACTTGCAGAAGGAAGTGTAATATGTTCCTCGATTGTATTTAGAAAATTGATATCCACTACCTAAAAAGGAATAGCTCCTCTTCCACTAAGTTTATCCTGGCCAATATCCTCTTTTTCTTCCCTGGTGTCAACAGGCCATGGAAGAACATCCAGCTTTAGTCCTTAGAAGAAAGAAACTTGAAACCTGCCACAGAAATGGATCATATTCCTCAAGTCTCACTCCTTGGGCTAGAAGAGATCTTTAAGAGGTCTTTTAGGAACCTCTCTGACTCAAGAACTGATGTGCCTAAGGGGAAGTCTAACAGAGGAGACACTTTGCCATTTGGGAAATTCTCACTTTCCTACATAGTTGGGATATGGTCTTCTGCTCTCTTTCTCTGGGTTTAATTGAGGGGCAAGGCAATGTCTATGAAAAGAGCTATCAACCAGATGTATCCCCTCCAAAATTCAGATGTTGAAACTTAATGGCCAATGTGATGGTATTAAGAGGTAGGGTTTTTAAGAAGTAACTAAATTATGAAGTCTTCTCCCCTGATCATGAATGAGATTAAGGCCCTTATAAAAGAGGACACAGTGTTCAAGGCACCATCTTGGAGGCAGAGACTGAATCCTTGCAACAAACCTTTCAGCTCCCTGATCCTGGACTTCCCAGCCTCCAGAACTATGAGCAATAAATTTGTGTTCGTTATAAATTACACATACCAGGTATTTTGTTATAGCAGCACAGACAGACTAAGGCAGATGTCTTCAGCTCTCCTCTTTTGGATTGAGTTGCAAGGCAATCTTGATGAACAGAACCCAAGCTTTGGAGCCAGACAACCTTAAGTGAGATCTTCACTTTTGAGCATTTCTGGCAAATCATTAACCTCTCTGGGTATGTTTCCGCACCTATAAACAGGAGTAACTACTACTTTTCAGAGTTGTTGAGAGAAATAGAGATTACATTTGGAACATGCTTAGTCAATGGCTGCTTTTATTATAAATGAATTTCCAGCAAACATACCTGCAACAAGATGGGATGACACCATTACAGAAGTCACCCAACAGGTAACACCTGACTTGGCTCAGATCACCACACATCCCAGCACATCTAAGCAGGCATGTACATCATGCCCCCCATGTCATCTAATCAGGTACAAGGCTGTCTCCCTCCTCTTCCTGATCACCCTCCACACAGAAATGCTAAGTCTTAAACATGAGGTTTAAACTTGAATAGAAAGCTTTCAATGGCAGACATTAGTGTGCGCGCGTGCGCACGCGCACACACACACACACGTGCGCGCGCACACACACACACACACACACACGAGATAGCTGGAGAGGGCAAGACAAGGCAGAAAACATACCTAATTAAGGTAATTTCAATCACGCAAATATTATATATGTGAAAGAGACTTTAATAGTCATTTAGTGAAACCCTCTCTTTTTATAGGTGGCCAAACTGAAACCTAGACAGGAGAAGGGACAGAGCCATGACAATGACAGAGGAGTCCTAAAATCAAGACCTCCTGACTGGGCTGAGGACCCACTGAAATTGACACGCAACGCAAATGCCAGAGGAAGGGAAGGTCAAGCTTACACTTACTTAGCTGCTACTTTATAAAGAACACTGGATAGGCACTAAGACAGGAAACAAGTTCCCAGCTGTCCTCCAGGAGCTTAACATCTGTCTAGCTGAGTAGCAAACACCTACCATGTGAAACAGCAGTAATGAAAAGAGGTTTGTGATGACAAGTCATGTGTTCAGGGAGATCAGAGATGGAAACAGGATGATGTCACAGGAGATCTTTTCCCCACAGGTAGAGGGACATGCTGCAGCCTCATAAAGACCATGGCTAGGATGCAAAGAACATTCAAGAAAAGGTTCCAGCAGGAACAAAGTCTTGGAATCTAGACTCAGTATGGCATGTTCTCAGTAAAGAGAGAATGCCTGCAAGCTCTGCAAAGACCTACTACTACCAGGTTTCCATGTAGTGTATGTATGTGGATGCTTCCTGGACCTCTTACCATGGAATACTGAGCTTGGTACTCCGTGCAGAAACTTTCAGGATTGCAAGTTTTCAGCAATCACCACTTCACAGTCTCTGCTTTCATTCCACACATGCTATCCTTAACAGTGGTCTCTGTCCATAAGCCTTAAAGAGCAAGTCCCCCGAATACAGGGATCAAATCCAGCCAACTGTACTAACCTTAATCCTATCTTCGTCTCATTTTTCCTATCTTAATTTTTCCTCTGCCTCTATTTCATCATGTCCTTATTTGCCTTTGGTTTATCTTGTTGTGGTACATTTTTTTAAGCTACTGTAAATCCCTTTCAAAGCAAGATGGTATCTAAATACATGCCTGCTAGCCTAGCCCATTTGCACAGCAGCCTGATGAGAGAGGCTCTCCAGTCTCTCCTCCAGAAATATCTTGGCCTCCTCAATCACTGACTCATCAAATTCATCCTTCCAGGCCTAGGTCAAATGTTCCACAAACCACATCCCAACTCCCCCACACAAAGCTCACCTTCCTTGCCTCTGAGCTTCAGCTGCATGTGGTATCTACTCATTTATAGCACTTACCCCCAGTCCACTCTGCAATCCACTCTAAACATTGCTAAAAAATTAATTTTGCTGAAGCAAAGCAGTCCTATCATATAATTCCCTCATTCAAAAATGCTCAATGGTTTCCCATTGCACAATGAAGGACTCACTCACTTTACTACCAGTTTACATTGTTTGATTTTCTATTTTTATCCTATAAACCTAAAAATCCAACCTGCCTGCTTTTCTCAAGCATGCCCTGTCTCCTGCTACAAGTAAAAGGAAGCAGCAGATTTCATGTGATTCCCTCTAGCACTGACCCTGGGCAGTGCATGACACAGAGGGACATGTGTTGACTCAGCTCTAGGAGATCCTGTCTTAACCATGTTCCCTCAGTATTTCCTCCTATTACTTCTAGGTTCCCATGAAGCCCTTTTTCCCCCAGGGTGATGCAAAAGAAAGAATGTGGACTATGGAAATAGATATATAGACTACTTGGTTCAAATCTTAGCTCTGCCACTCCATAGCTGTGTGACTTTAGGCAAGTTCCCTAGCCTCTCTGAGTCTGTTTATCTTAAAAATGGGGACCACAAAGGTCATTTTAAAGATTAATGAGATATTTGTAAAAATGCTCAACTTTATACCAAGCATGTGGAGGGTGTTCAATAAATACTAGGTATGATTACTAATGGTTATTGTCCTTGCCATTATTCATGCTTCGACATCCAGAAAGACCAAAGCAGGAGGTCAGACACCCACTTTACATCCTCAGTCTTCACTCTGAATGGAGGCACTGCCAGACCTTTTTCACATCACAAATCACATTGCTACCTCATACATCAAGTGGAAAATGTCACATCGTTCCTTCCTGAGACCATCACTCAGTGAGGACTCCTCTTTACCCCTCCCCAACTCCATGATATTTTTTTCTTTTCGTAAAAATGCTCCATGATATTTTTTTCTTTTCGTAAAAATGATAAAATGATCCATGATATTTTTTTCTTTTCGTAAAAATGATATGTCCTCAATGCTTCTGTCCATAAGCATTATTCAACTGCTGGGTAAAGAGTGTAAAGCAATAAACACTTAAAATCTACCAAGCTTCTCTATAATCTCCAGACATGGCAGGGCAGAGGCCTTGATGTCAGTCTGTGATGAAGGCAGATGGGGAAGGGAGTTTTGCACTAGTTGCCTCTTATTTCTGTCTCTGGCCTAAGCACAGATATTGAGTATGATAGGTAGAAGCAGAGGACAGTGGTGCTAGATGAATTATAAAGGTTATATGTCATTCTATAGCACACTCAGCAAAAAAGAAGCCTTCAAGGAACCTGAAATGTAGAAGGATTTGAGACTGTCAGTGTCACTGGGCCAACCAGCCTTTTTTGGTTTTAGTTCCAATTTCACAAAGTGGTCTGGATGCTCACATGCTGCAACCTCACAGGATGTCACAAAGGCTGCTACCTGTGGAAAGGCAGGTTACACCTGCCTGTCGGCGGAGGCTGACAAGAATCCAGGCAAGTATACTTAGTTCCACAGATGGAGGTGGGGGCTTTCCTCCCAGAAAGAAGACCATATCCCTAGCCCCAAATTCTAGAACTGGGATCTAAATCCAAGAACTGGGATTTGATTAAGTTATCCAAACTTTGTCATCCTGCCCCCTCAATGGTGAGATTTTCAGACTAGCCACTGAGGGTTAAAGGAGGCACTGCCTATGGAGTAGAAGCCATTTGTTCCTCTGTGTAAGTCTAGCTGGGCCCCATAGGAATCAGACCCATAGTTTGACCTCCTTAAGGCCACTGCCAACCAGCTGAGCTACAGCATAGGGCCCGAGAAGACATGCGCAGTACATCAGGGGGCAGGTGGGTAGTTACGAGACTATGTCAAGAGTCTCTCAAACTGTGTCTTCACATCCTAGTTAGGCCTCACCAGTCTTCTGCCCAAGCCATGCACCCAGAACCCAGAGCAGTTCATCAAGATAACTAATGAGTGGCTCCCCTGGCCAGCATAGCTGCCCCAGTGCCTCTCTGAAAAAGTGAATATGTGTTGGCAACAGGCACCTCCTACCTGCTGTGCCAACCTGCTCACTTCTCAGTTCTGCTTTCCATAAATACATCATCAACAGAAAAGGTTGGCATGGCAGAGAGATATACAGGACACAGACTCTTAGATGTAACACGGAAGTCAGGGATGTGATCCTTCTCCCCATTTGTACCTTATCCTAAGTGCACTGGACCTATCTCATATCTTTCTTTCCTCTTGTGGCTTTTTGTTTTGTTGAGGTTGTTTTGGGGTTTTTCTGTGTGCTTTACATTGATTTAATAAACCACGTGATCTGAGCATCCTAATTTGGCTGTGAGCTTCCAGTTCTATGACCTCTAGTTTGGGTGCCAACTATGTGTAGAGCATATTTAAAGGGCACCATTGCATCAGAGTAATTCCCCATCACAACAGGGGTGGGTGGGGAAGGGTGGGGTAGGGCAGGAAAGAACAATCAAGGTCAGGGATGTAGGAAGAGAAGATAAGTGCTAATATCATATCTGAGGTCAGAGTAGGATTAGGGCCTCAGAAAATATCATTTTACTGAGAGCCTGGATATGAGCATCCCCTTTCTGGCTCTNCTCACTTTACTACCAGTTTACATTGTTTGATTTTCTATTTTTATCCTATAAACCTAAAAATCCAACCTGCCTGCTTTTCTCAAGCATGCCCTGTCTCCTGCTACAAGTAAAAGGAAGCAGCAGATTTCATGTGATTCCCTCTAGCACTGACCCTGGGCAGTGCACAACATAGAGAGACATGTGTTGACTCAGCTCTAGGAGATCCTGTCTTAACCATGTTCCCTCAGTATTTCCTCCTATTACTTCTAGGTTCCCATGAAGCCCTTTTTCCCCCAGGGTGATGCAAAAGAAAGAATGTGGACTATGGAAATAGATATATAGACTACTTGGTTCAAATCTTAGCTCTGCCACTCCATAGCTGTGTGACTTTAGGCAAGTTCCCTAGCCTCTCTGAGTCTGTTTATCTTAAAAATGGGGACCACAAAGGTCATTTTAAAGATTAATGAGATATTTGTAAAAATGCTCAACTTTATACCAAGCATGTGGAGGGTGTTCAATAAATACTAGGTATGATTACTAATGGTTATTGTCTTTGCTGTTATTCATGCTGCGACATCCAGAAAGACCAAAGCAGGAGGTCAGACACCCACTTTACATCCTCAGTCTTCACTCTGAATGGAGGCACTGCCAGACCTTTTTCACATCACAAATCACATTGCTACCTCATACATCAAGTGGAAAATGTCACATCGTTCCTTCCTGAG